GTGTGTGTGTGTGTGTGTGTGTGTGGAGGGGGGCTGCACTAACAGGAAGCCCGGAGGTCAGGGAAATATCCCTGGGGGGCTGGGGGTCGTTAGTGAGGAGGATTAGCAGCCCAATAGAACAGCTGTCGGAGAATTAGAACTGTGCTCAACACTTCCGCGCCTCTTTCATCTCTGTGTTAACAAACACAAAGCCCACTAATTCCCCTCCTGGCTGGGGGTGGAGAGAGAGGGGGGCAGGGGGAGGGGGCAGGGCGCTCAGGGGCCCAGACAGCTCATCCTGGTGTCCGTCAAGACACCCAGCTGTCTCGCACCCTGGCTCGGGGTGTGGGACATGGGTAACAGGGAGGTGGATTTCTGGGGCCTGTGGGGGTGAGTTCCCATAAACCCTCCTTTCGCAGTTTCAGCACAGGAAGTTCGGCAGTCCATCGCCACAGCAGGACAGCTGTGGCGTGTGGCACCCCCGAAAACGGCCACCCGCCTGCCTCCACCACCGAGGACCGGGGAGAGACCGGGCTGAAGACAGCTTAGCTCAGCAGGGGGAGGAAAGCTCTACTCATTGTTAAAATCAAATGAACTCGATCATATTTTCTTTCGCAGGTCGGCTACAAATAACAAAATATTCTCCCACAGGGAAGAATTTCCTTAATAAAATCCTCAAAACAGACTGGCTGTGCCACTAGAAAATGTGACAGCGGTGCCAACAACTGCAGAGAGGGCTGCCCCCCCCACCGGTTGATTACAAAGACAATGGAAGCTCAGGAAGTTTGGAATTCTGACACGGAACATTCCTTTGTCATGACAACAGCAGAATCTGCAGGATTCTAGAGCCATCCGCCCCAGGTGGTGGCCCGCCAGCTGCGCTCGCTCAGGGCCCTGGGGGCTGGTGTCTGAGATGGACAGGGGGACTGGCCAGGCCAGGTATGGACCTGTGGTCAAGCCGGGACCTGCTCCAGAGAGGAAAAGGAATCTCTCTCTTTTTTTTCCTGCAGCCCCTCCATTAGGAAAAACCTCCCGTCATGAAATATTTGTCAGTGCAGCCGGAGGCGATACCATCTCCTGCCTAATTAATCATCACTTCCACACCAAACTTCCTTCCCCAAATTCCCTGCATTGCTCAACAGGAACAGGCCTTGGCAAACAGCATGAAACGGTTGCCACGGAAACCCGACACACCCTCGTCTCCCTCTGTCTGTGGGAGCGTGCCTGGGTGGGGGCTGGGGCCGCGATTGCGCGGCGCTCTGCTGTGTCGGGTTTTAGCGTCCAGTTTGGAGCTGCGGTGCCCTTCGTGCACTGCTGATCAGTCTTATTCTGTCTCTGCTGCCGTCTCCAAGTCAGAGGCCGAGGCCAGCGGACAGGCAGGGTCCCAGGGCTGGACAGGGGCTCAGGACACTGGAGCCCCACCTGCAGGCTCAGAGACAGCGCACAAAGGGAATGGGCGTCTCCTGCCCATAGAGGACAGTGGTTCCACTGAGCTTTAATCTCCTGTGTGAGGAGCAATCCAATCTCCCTCACTCCCCTCCCTTCGCCTCTCCCTCTGCGCTCCCACGGCATTCCGATCTCCTGACACACAGGTAAGAGCAGTCGCTGCCAGGTGAGAGCAGATACAGTACAAGGTAGATATTTATAACCCTGAGATTGTACTCTAACCCTGGCA